AGACCCACATTGATAGCTGTTTGAGATTGTCTGCTTTGGTGAGAGTGAATATTGCCACTCAACTGGATGAGGGATACAGGCTAGCTGTCCGCCGCCACAACGATGAGGTTAGCAACAGCAGAGTCGTGAACACTGTCTACGAGAATCGAGACGACCTCATAGAATGTTTTGAAGCCATCCGGACGGGTTCATTGGGTTCATTTGACCAGCCCACCGTACCAGAAGCTACAGAATAAGGACATCGATGCTGTCTTTATCAAACGTGCCCTCGACAGCTTCGCAAGCAGTGTGCAGGCCATAAGGTAAGATAAAGATTAAACAATATCATTCGATCTTTCTCAAAGCAGAGCTTTATTTGAAAATGTATGCATGAAAGGAGACTGCATTTGTGTTTGAAATTACATTATTGTCATTATATATGGCCAGTGGTGTAATCTATCTTATTTTATATACTATGTGTACTGTACAGTGGTGCTCATAAGTGTATGAACACATTCTAAAGCTGACTAAAAAGAGGAATAAAAAAATAAAAAAATCTGTTCATGTTCATTTTTACAAATCTATACAATTGGCCAGAATATGGTTGTTCATATTTACAAATCTATACAATTGGCCAGAATATGGTTGTTCATTTTTACAAAGCCATACATATTGTTTATGCAGTGTTGAGGAATGTGAAAGAACACCCTTGATTATTTTTACTGTGATAACTTATTTTGCTTTTGTAAGCCAACACTTTTGAGATCAGTCAATAAATGCTTCTGGTATTGACTTATATGCTGCCCCTGTCTTCATGTTGTTGCTGGACATATCTTTTTAAAAATGTGTGTAGGTCACCTAAATCATCAGAAAAATTGCCCCTCCTTAGAATTTTTTCAGGAGCCGCCACTGCACCTGGAATGCATTTCAATGAACAGGTGTGCCTTGTTAAAAGTTAATTTGTGGAATTTCTTCCCTTCGTAATGCGTTTGAGCCAATCAGTTGTGTTGTGACAAGGTAGGGGTGGTATACAGAAGATAGCCCTATTTGGTAAACGATCAAGTCCATATTATGGCAAGAACCGCTCAAATAAGCAAAGAGAAACGACAGTCCATCATTACTTTAAGACATGAAGGTCAGTCAATACGGAACATTTCAAGAACTTTGAACGTTTCTTCAAGTGCAGTTGCAAAAAACATCAAGCGCTATGATGAAACTGGCTCTCATGAGCACCGCCACAGGAAAGGAAGACCCAGAGTTACCTCTGCTGCAGAGAATATGTTCATTAGAGTTAACTGCACCTCAGATTGCAGGCCAAATATAAATGCTTCAAGTAACAGACACATCTCAACATCAACTGTTCAGAGAAGACTGTGTGAATCAGTCCTTCATGGTGGAATTGCTGCAAAGAAACCACTACTAAAGGACACCAATAAGAAGAAGAGACTTGCTTGGGCCAAGAAACACGAGCAATGGACATTAGACCGGTGGAAATTTGTCCTTTGGTCTGGAGTCCAAATTTGAGATTTTTGCTTCCACCCGCCGTGTCTTTGTGAGACGCGGTGTGGGTGAACGGATGATCTCCTTATGTGTATTTCCCACCGTAAAGCATGGAATAGGAGGTGTTATGGTGAGGGGGTGCTTTGCTGGTGACACTGTCTGTGATTTATTTAGAATTCAAGGCACACTTAACCAGCATGGCTACCAAAGCATTCTGCAGCGATGCGCCATCCCATCTGGTCTGGGCTTAGTGGGACTATCATTTGTTTTTCCACAGGACATTGACCCAACACACCTCCAGGTTGTGTAAGGGCTATTTGACCAAGAAGGAGTGTGACCTCAACCCAATTGAGATGGTTTGGGATGAGTCGGACCGCAGAGTGAAGGAAAAGCAGCCAACAAGTGCTCAGCATATGTGGGAACTCCTTCAAGACTGTTGGAAAAGCATTTCAGGTAAAGCTGGTTGAGAGAATGCCAAGAGTGTGCAAAGCTGTCATCAAGGCAAAGGGTGGCTATTTGAAGAATCTCAAATATAAAATATATTTTGATTTTTTAAAACACTTTTTTGGTTACTACATGATTCCATTTGTGTTATTTTATAGTTTGATGTCTTCACTATTATTCTACAATGTAGAAAATAGTAAAAATAAAGAAAAACCCTTGAATGAGTAGGTGTTCCAAAACCTTTGACCGGTAGTGTTTATATTTTTTTATCCAGTCAGATAAACACTCCAAACAGCCTACCCAAATTTCCGAATGGTCCTAAAGCACACCGTTGCCTCATTTTGTCTCACATTCCAATGATAAAACTGGGGGGGACAAAATTCAATTTCAGAATGTGGGGGGGACATGTCCCCCCTGTCGGCAGTGAAAGTTGCGCCCCTGGGTATACTTGTCACTGGCAGAGACTGGGGAGTTTGTCAGGATCAAAATAAATATAAAAGGAGCAAAGCCCAGGTAAAAAGTTAGAGGAAAACCCACTGTAGTCATCTGAGAACCTAACCCTGGGATAGGTTTGTATTTTTCAGCGGGACAATTACACAAATGTTAATGCCAAAGACACACCAGAATGGCTTTCCAAGAGGTGGTGCGTGTTCCCGAATGGTCCAGTCTCAGTCTTGACTTAAATCTGCTTGAAAAACAGAGACAAGATTTGAATATTGCTATCCATCAAGGATTCCAAACCATATTTACTGAGCTTGAGCAATTTTGATATACAGTATGTTGCCCTAGGAGTTGTGCAAGATTGGTAGAATCTTATTAAAAATTATTCACAGCTATAAGGCTGCCAAAGATGCATACACCTAGTATTAACTCTGGGGTGTGAAGACATACGCAATCAATACATGTTCCATTTTTTATTTTCATTAATTTTCATTGGAAAATGTTCTATAATTATTCTTGCACTTTGAAAATGTGTAATAGGTTGTGTATATTGGTAGGAAAAAATTGAATGTAATCCCTTTTTAGATTTAATTTTAAGGCAGACAAATGTGATGACTGTGAAAGGGGTGTGTGGACTTTCACTAGTGACTGTATTTCCTTTTGAAAACATATTCTCATATTTTGTAGCCTGATAGTTTAGGAATGCATGGAATGTATGTGTTTGAAATTGACTTTGTTTGAAACGTCTGAAACTTAGTCTATAGTCTTGTTTGTGTCTCTACTTGCTTCGTAATGCACAGATATTTCAGACATTCACTAAGAGCTCTCTTTTACTTTTTTGCAGTACTGATGATTGATTCAAAATTATTCTTCGGAGGTATTTAAAAAAAAAAAAATATTTCACCTTTATTTAACCAGGTAAACCAGTTTAAAACAGGTTCTCATTTACAACTGCGACCTGGCCAAGATAAAGCAAAGCAGTGCGATAAAAACAACAACACAAAGTTACATATGGGGTAAAACAAAACAAAGTCAAAAATACAACAGAAATAAATATATACACAGTGTGTGCACAGTGTGTGCAAATGTAGCAAGTTATGGAGGTAAGGCAATAAATAGGCTATAGTGCAAAATAATTACAATTAGTATTAACACTGGAATGATAGATGTGCAAGAGATGATGTGCAAATAGAGATACTGGGGTACAAATGAGCAAAATAAATAACAATATAGGGATGAGGTAGTTGGGCGGGCTAATTTCAGATGGGCTGTGTACAGGTGCAGTGATCGGTAAGGTGCTCTGACAACTGATGCTTAAAGTTAGTATTGAAGTATTCTCCTCCCAACACAAAGAGTGGTCATCATGGATCCCAAAGGTCTCCACTGGCCTACCTCACCTGGCCCTGGTCGTCACCCCCAGAGACCCAGAAAGAGGGAGGACTACCACAGACCTTCTTACTCTCACCAGGGGGATGGCTCTGGGAACTACCCACCACCACAACCTCCACCACATGGGGCCACTACCACTGGGCACTACCTACCACCACCACCACCTGACCCCAGAGAGAGGGCAAAGCAGTGGTCCCAGGTTGGGTCCCGTCCAGACCCTAGGTACAGGGGTTACCTCGCCAGCCCTCCACCCCACAGACCACTTCCAGAGTTCAGCCCTAGTGCCTACAGCACTCCCCACTCAAGAATGGCTTATGACAGACCCCACTGCACAACGGGTTACAATAGATCAGAGCCACAACAATCCAGACCCCACTCAAGGTTTGTTCTCAGAATCTATATCCAAAGTAACCAAAGTTAATTCTATTCTATTCTAGATTCTATTCTACTATCCACCGTTCTCAAAAACAAAAAGTACATTGTCTCTTGGTATTATTTGCATTATTTATTGTGGTTTGGTAGTGACAGTTGTGGAGCACAGGCTATGTAACGTTATTATGTGAACCCTAAGATACAGTTTGTAATGAATTATTCACCGTTATATAATCAGATATGGATCTGTGATATTGTTTTCTGGCCAGCATATGACTACCCACCACAAGGCTACTGGGACTACAGCCAAGACTATGGCTACTATGACCAAGGCTATTACAGAGGGCATTACAGCCACCCAGGTACTGACCTATTAATATCAGTGGATTACAGTAATACATTATATTACACACAAGTATTGCACCACAGTTTGCCAAGCAACTTAAGCCATTATCAGAGTTATAACAAATGGATTAACATTGTAATAAATTATTGATACTTAACACAACATATTCACCACAGTACAAAGATAATTAATGTTTAAATGAACTAACCTAAACAATAACTATGTGCAAATAAACAACATGATTGATACAATTCTCTGTCATTGACATGATCCAAATGCAGGTCAATGGACTCCCCAGGAACAGTGGCGATCTGACCTGTATCAGGAGAGGAGATATGAACAGCAGGACCAGACTGGGAGTGGCTACCCAGAACAACACAGGTTAGACAACAGATGTGAAATTCCTGATATCCCTTTCATTTAAAGGCATGAATTCAAATCTATTTCTTCTTCTTCTTCAGGTATGACCAGCGAGAAGCCAGCTCTCAACATGACTTGAGAGGCTCTGATGAAGATCATTCTAGAGATAATGGGGAGGCTAGTACAGAGGTAACATCTAAATATTATGATCAATAAATTATATGAATTTCTTCTGACAAAGATACTGTACAGATCTGTGTTGCTGTTTGCCCACTCTGTTGAATACTTACTTTAGGAACTTGGTTGTATGACGTTCTCCATCCCTGCTCATTCTCCTATCTTGGTTTGGCTGGTCTTGTCCTCCAGACCTCCTGTTATGCCCCTGGGGCTCTGGCCAGTTTCAAGGCATCAGGCCTGTCCTCCAGTAGCTATGAGCAGAGCCAGTACATCAACGGTGCTGAACAGATTGATCCTGCCCCACAACCCACCTGGAGCACAGCAGACACAGGTAAGCCTTGAGTTACCTGTCATCTCCACCCAGATACTGTAGGTCTGTCTCTTAGAAACAGGGGCCACATAATGTTATACACTTACTTAGCTGTAGGGTTGTATACCACTAAAAACAAAATAGCACAATGAGGCTAACTGGTCATCCTCAAGTCTAATGAACACTCATGACAGCACTATGAATATCCCCCATGAAGGTGATAATATGAATTATGATAATACTGCATGTTCTCTCCTTAGAGCATGCAGCAGTTCCCGAGGCAACTGCCCCTCTGACATACTCTTTACCTCATGCTCTAGTCAGCTTTGGTCCAGCAGGACAGTTGATCCGGGTCAGTCCAGGTCTGGCCATGCAGGGAGCAGGAAAGAATCAGTATGGAGTAGGATATATCTATGGGGCAGAATTGTTGTGGTGAATTAGCAGGTTATAGGAAGAAGTCGCAATCATTATAGTGAATACAGTAGGCATCAAGGACGGGCTAATTCATTGGCCGATTAGTTTGGTTTGGAGGAACTATTGAGCTGTTCTAATCAATATTGAGCCGCGTGTTAGAAGTTGCTGTTGTTGTGTTACTGAGAGGCTGTCTGTCTGTTCTGTCTGTAGATAATTCTGGGGGAAACACAGGAGCTGCGGGACATTTTTTCCTGGCCCGCTGGCAAGGTATTTTACACTCTCAAACCCAATATCCACACTTGCATACTACTTTGTATGTGATGATGTATTGGCCATGTATGCAAAGTAGAAAACAATGACCAAATAACTACTCGCAACAATTTTTTGGTTGTTTCCCCACAACTCACAAAACTGTTCTAGAGACACTAAAAACAGGCACCTAAACTGCATGGAAAAAATGACGGTTTACTGTCATAATTGTGTCAGTAGCTAGGTTTCTATCCAATTGGCGACAGGTTTTCATGCAAATATTCTAAAATCCGCATAAAGAAAATATTAGCATTTTCCCACCAGTGGTGTCTTTCCACTGACTTGTTGCGGTTATTTAAGTCAGTGCGTGATGACGTATTGTACAGAAAATGTACTTTTTCGCTTACGTTTTCATGTACCGAATAAACATCTAAAGTTCAAAGTGTTACGATCGCATTTTCAACTCTACCAATAGTTTAATCACAAAAACTGTTGTGTTAAATAGCAAATGTGCCTACTCTGGTCTTTGCACGTGTGATCTAGACAACAGCTCGCAGATACAGTGCGCGTAGGCTAGTCTACATGACATTATTATGGATAAGAGCAAGATTATTTTTCAAACGGCAGTCAAATATCAATCATCATGTCACCAGAATAAGATCCTTGTTGGTGAAACCATAATAAGGAGAGGAAGTACAAAACCAACGACGCTAGACAGAGAGGAATATGCTTAAGCAAAAGGCAGTTTATTAAACACAGAGATAGCTGGTACTGCTCAAGCTACATGCATGGGCCCAATGCATGGACCCAATCAATTGCCTCTTATGGAGACAGTTGAGAAGGATGGATAAAACAGAGTTACAGCATTATTTTATACAATGTAACATATAGGAAGGGGTCCTTCTTCTAGTCCCTTGATTGGTTCCCGAGGCGTAGGAGGCGGGTCTGCTCTGTCCAGAGTAGAAGCCCCATTTGTGCACGGCAGAGTCCTCTGCCCTTGGCACCCGACCAGTAGAAAGAAGTGGAGTTTGTGTGTGTGCGTCCACAGAGCAAAGAACTCGTGAGGCATGAGAATGAGTGTGCGTCCATATTGAGATGTGTGTGTGAGTGTGTGTATGTCTCAAGGGAAACTCGTGGGGAGCAATCAGTGATTGTGGCCTGTGGCGTGGGTGTTGTCCTTGACAAGATATGGTCCTCTGTCCATTGTTCTTGCATAGGAACAGCATTGATTGAAAACAAGCTCCTAACACAAAATGGGTCTTGCACAGCTTTTTAGTCAGACCAAGCTATAACATTTTATATTTACTACGACACCCTCGATATCTATTGGAAAAGAGATCACTGTGTACTTTCACCACCATTTATTTAATCTGTAGCCTAATAAACTGTATGGTTTCCCGAGTCATAGTGGGAGGACCACACACAATATCCTTACGTGACTCCCAAGTTTACTTCAATATGATGGTTATTATATTAATATTCCACCACCATTTCTCGTATAATTAATATTACAGACACAAAACGATCTCACCATGTCGACTCAAAAATGATCTGTCGGCATTTATAAAATTGTACCTAAACTACCTGTTTCCATCACAGCTGTCGTGATTTTTTTTATACGGTATGACTTTCCTCACATAAAAACTGTGGATGGAAGCGTGGTTTATGAATCTTATGTGTGTATTACTTTTTGAGTTTTTTTCTCCTCCTTTAAAGGGAAGACCTGCACAAAGTAGATGTCATGTCTTTTGCCCACCAGAGGGCAGAAGCCTGCATGAAAGATGAAAAGCTTCAAGACAAGGGCTCTAGTCTGCCGGCCTCCTTTGGAATGTACTGGTACTGCTGTGCAGACAAAATGGAGTAGGTGTACATCTCTTCACACTCTTATATTAAGTGAAACCCCTTTGTCTTAGCACTCTTAAAATATCACAAATTTGCCAAGATGGTCCAAAACTACACGCAACAATCATCTATTGCTATCCCAGTCTTTCCTTTTTAATGGATTCTGTGGCATTTGGATAATCAGCATTATATGTGAAGGGCTGTGCCCACCCACCCACATACACATTTTTTTATTTAACCTTTATTTAACCATACTCATTCAAACATTATCCTATTGTTTTATCTCCCTGAATTCATTCAGCGTAACTTTGGTTCAGACATAGCAGAGCTACTGATGAGGAACTCTCAGGGCCATGGTGGTTCAGGGGGCAGTGAAGGATCAGAGGCCCCTACCCTAATAGGTAGAGGACACCACACCACACATACTGTTTTGTATCTATTGGACATGTTACGCTGAGGAAAAAGCAAATGATGAAAAGGTTTCAATTTTTATATTACCCTCATAGATCTGATTGAGGGCCCCAGTCCTGAGACAGACCCCATGGATGGCGCAGACTTGCTAACAGGGACAGCCGCTAGTGTCTGTATGGCTGAGTCCACAGAGAAGGACATGCAGGGATACACCAAGCTTCTCCTGGCTGGACGGAAGAAGGTGAGGATAATCTCTCTGTCTCTGTCTCAGTGTCTCTCTCTCTTACGGTCTCGGTCCCTGTCTCAGTCTGTCTCAGTGTCTGTCTGTGTCTCTGTCTCTCTTTTTCGGTCTCGCTCCTCACTGTTCCCCTCTCTATTTATAATATAATATCATAAATATTTTGTAAGATTAATGGTAAAGTCATCTTCTATTTATTCTGAGAGTAATAGATAGTGTATGACTATGATTAACACCATGGAGACAGCCTAGTTGACACATTACTGTCTGACTAATGTAACACCAGGGCTATCCTCTTACTCCTCCAACACTGACTCCTGACACTGTGTTCTTCTACAACCCTTCCACGTCACCTCCATGTTCTTTCACACCTCCTTCACCCCTGCCCCATGCCTCCCTCATAACTCCCCCACGCCTCATGTCTCCTCCAGATGTCTCATGTCTCCTCCAGATACTTTAGGCTTACAGAATCCCATCTGCTAGCTCCCCCACATCTCCCTTACACCTCCCCCATGCCTCTCCACGCCTCCCCCACGGTTCCTTCACCCCTCACCACACCTTCCCCAAACATTTGCATGGTTCCTTCACGCCACGCCATGCCTCCCACCATGGTTCCTCCACATCTCTTTTATGGTTCTTTCACAGGAGGCCCTAGAGTTGGCCATGAAGAGTGGACTGTGGGGCCACGCCCTGTTCCTGGCCAGCAAGATGGAAAACAGGTCCTATACCACTGTGTTGAACAGGTGAGTGCATGGAGCAGCATTATCTCTGAGACATTACAACATGGATATTGAATATTCGTCAGCATAGTAAATATAATTGACTGCTTGATATTTTGTTTGCAGTGGCACTTTTTACAGGTCAATAACACTCAGCCTTGTAGGGGTATTACGTCTTTAATTAATTCCTAGAAGATTGATCTTGCTCCGGACTGCCATAAGTCAAATCTATATATACGGTCTTTGTACCAAATGGCACCTTATGCCCTATATACAGTAGTGCACTACTTTGACCAGAGCCCTATGGACCCTGGTCAAAAGAACACTATATAGGGAATAGGTTGCTATTTGGGACACATCCACTGTTTCTATCCTGCAGTGCTTTGGTCACTCACTGACTGACAGCTGTTGTCTTTTTCCTATTATCTAAGCAAGGGTATTCCTGTTGTGACCTGCCCTGTAAATAATACACAGAGATGGACTACAGTGACTTGGAAAAGTATTCATCCCCCTTGACGTTTTTCCTATTTTGTTGCATTACAACCTGTAATTTAAATGGATTTTTATTTGGATTTCATGTAATGGACATACACAAAATAGTCAAAATTGGTGAAGTGAAATTAAAAAAGATAACTGGTTTCAAAAAATTCTTAAAAATCAATAACGGAAAAGTGGTGCGTGCATATGTATTCACCCCCTTTGCTGGTGCAACCAATTACCTTCAGAAGTCACATAATTAGTTAAATAAAGTCCACCTGTGTGCAATCTAAGTGTCACATGATCTCAGTATATATACACCTGTTCTGAACGGCCCCAGGGTCTGTAACACCACTAAGCAAGGGGCACCACCAAGCAAGCGGCATCATGAAGACCAAGCAGCTCTCCAAACAGGTCAGGGACAAAGTTGTGGAGAAGTACAGATCAGGGTTGAGTTATAAAAAAATACCAGAAACTTTGAACATCCCACGGAGCACCATTAAATCCATTATTAAAAAATGGAAAGATAATGGCACCACAACAAACCTGCCAAGAGAGGGCCGCCCACCAAAACTCACGGACCAGGCAAGGAGGGCATTAATCAGAGAGGCAACAAAGAGACCAAAGATAACCCTGAAGGAGCTGCAAAGCTCCACAGCGGAGATTGGAGTATCTGTCCATAGGACCACTTTAAGCCGTACACTCCACAGAGCTGGGCTTTACGGAAGAGTTGCCAGAAAAAAGCCACTGCTTAAAGAAAAAAATAAGCAAACACGTTTGGTGTTAGCCAAAAGGCATGTGGGAGACTCCCCAAACATATGGAAGAAGGTACTCTGGTCAGATGAGACGAAAATTGAGCTTTTTGGCCATCAAGGAAAACGCTATGTCTGACGCAAACCCAACACCTCTCATCCCCCTGAGAACACCATCCCCACAGTGAAGCATGGTGGTGGCAGCATCATGCTGTGGGGATGTTTTTCATCGGCAAGGACTGGGAAACTGGTCAGAATTGAAGGAATGATGGATGGCGCTAAATACAGGGAAATTCTTGAGGGAAACCTGTTTCAGTCCTCCAGAGATTTGAGACTGGGACGGAGGTTCACCTTCCAGCAGGACAATGACCCTAAGCATACTGCTAAAGCAACACTCCAGTGGTTTAAGGGGAAACATTTAAATGTCTTGGAATGGCCTAGTCAAAGCCCAGACCTCAATCCAATTGAGAATCTGTGGTATGACTTAAAGATTGCTGTACACCAGCAGAACCCATCCAACTTGAAGGAGCAGTTTTGCCTTGAAGAAATAGCAAAAATCCCAGTGGCTAGATGTGCCAAGCTTATAGAGACATACCCAAAGAGACTTGCAGCTGTAATTGCTGCAAAATGTGACTCTACAAAGTATTGACTTTGGGGGGGGGGGGGTGAAACGCTCAAGTTTTCTGTTTCACTGTCTTATTTCTTGTTTGTTTCACCAAAAATATTTTGCATCTTCAAAGTGGTAGGCATGTTGTGTAAATCAAATGATTCGACCCCCCCCCCCAAAAAAAAAATATATATATATTTTAATTCCAGGTTGTAAGGCAACAAAATAGGAAAAATGCCAAAAGGGGGGTGAATAGTTTCGCAAGCCACTGTATATCATAATATACTTGTAAACTACTTGACATCGCAACCAAACCCTTCATTCTGCATAATCAGCAGTGTGTCCATGCCCAGGGAGAGAATGTGTTTTTGGGGCCAGTGAGGAAACATGAGTGGGGGAGTTGGATGGAGCTGGGAATCCCAAGTCTGGCAGGGAAGGGGAGGGAGAGGGGGATGGAGAGGAGGGTGAGGGGGGAGGAGTGAGAATGAGTGTAAATAATAAGGGGAGGCTGGGGGGATGAGGAGTGAGGCTGGATAGAGTATACATACAGTGAGGGAAAAAAGTATTTGATCCCCTGCTGATTTTGTACATTTGCCCACTGACAAAGACATGATCAGTCTATCATTTTAATGGTAGGTTTATTTGAATAGAGAGAGACAGAATAACAACAACAAAAATCCAGAAAAACGCATGTCAAAAATGTTATGAATTGATTTGCATTTTAATGAGGGAAATAAGTATTTGACCCCTCTGCAAAACATGACATAGTACTTGGTGGCAAAACCCTTGTTGGCAATCACAGAGGTCAGACGTTTCTTGTAGTTGGCCACCAGGTTTGCACACATCTCAGGAGGGATTTTGTCCCACTCCTCTTTGCAGATCTTCTCCAAGTCATTAAGGTTTCGAGGCTGACGTTTGGCAACTCGAACCTTCAGCTCCCTCCACAGATTTTCTATGGGATTAAGGTCTGGAGACTGGCTAGGCCACTCCAGGACCTTAATGTTCCTCTTCTTGAGCCACTCCTTTGTTGCCTTGGCCGTGTGTTTTGGGTCATTGTCATGCTGGAATAACCCATCCACGACCCATTTTCAATGCCCTGGCTGAAGGAAGGAGGTTCTCACCCAAGATTTGACAGTACATGGCCCCATCCATCGTCCCTTTGGTGTGGTGAAGTTGTCCTGTCCCCTTAGCAGAAAAACACCCCCAAAGCATAACGTTTTCACCTCCATGTTTGACGGTGGGGATGGTGTTCTGGGGGTCATAGGCAGCATTCGTCCTCCAAACACGGCGAGCTGAGTTGATGCCAAAGAGCTCAATTTTGGTCTCATCTGACCACAACACTTTCACCCAGTTCTCCTCTGAATCATTCAGATGTTCATTGGCAAACTTCAGGCGGGCCTGTATATGTGCTTTCAATAGCAGGGGGACCTTGCGGGCGCTGCAGGATTTCAGTCCTTCACGGCATACTGTGTTACCAATAGTTTTATTGGTGACCATGGTCCCAGCTGCCTTGAGATCATTGACAAGATCCTCCCGTGTAGTTCTGGGCTGATTCCTCACCGTTCTCATGATCATTGCAACTCCACGAGGTGAGATCTTGCATGGAGCCCCAGGCTGAGGAAGATTGACAGTTCTTTTGTGTTTCTTCCATTTGCGAATAATCGCACCAACTGTTGTCACCTTCTCACCAAGCTGCTTGGCAAAGGTCTTGTAGCCCATTCCAGCCTTGTGTAGGTCTACAATCTTGTCCCTGACATCCTTGGAGAGCTCTTTTGTCTTGGCCATGGTGGAGAGTTTGGAATCTGATTGATTGATTGCTTCTGTGGACAGGTGTCTTTTATACAGGTAACAAGCTGAGATTAGGAGCACTCCCTTTAAGAGTGTGCTCCTAATCTCAGCTCGTTACCTGTATAAAAGACACCTGGGAGCCAGAAATCTTTCTGATTGAGTGGGGGTCAAATACTTATTTCCCTCATTAAAATGCAAATCAATTAATGACATGCGTTTTTCTGGATAATTGTTGTTGTTATTCTGTCTCTCACTGTTCAAATATACATACTATTAAAATTATAGACTGATCATTTCTTTGTCAGTGGGCAAACGCACAAAATCAGCAGGGGATCAAATACTTTTTTCCCATAAACATATACACAATACCCCATAATGACAAAGCGAAAACAGGCTTTTAGAAATGTTTGCAAATGTATTAACCCCCCCCCGGAAATATTACATTTGCATAAGTATTCAGACCCGTGCTCAGTACTTTGTTGAAGAGTCTTTGGCAGCGATTGCAGCCTCGAGTCTTCCTGGGTATGACGCTACAAGCTTTGCACACCTGTATTTGGGGAGTTTCTCCCATTCTTCTCTGCAGATCCTCTCAAGCTCTGTCAGGTTGGATGGGGAGTGTCGCTACACAGCTATTTTCCGGTCTCTCCAGACATGTTGGTTCGGGTTCATGTCCAGGCTCTGGCTGGGCCACTCAAGGACATTCACAGACTTGTCCCGAAGCTACTCCTGTGTTGTATTGGCTGTGTGCTTAGAGTTGTTGTCCTGTTGGAAGGTGAACCTTCGCCCCAGTCTGAGGTCCTGAGTGCTCTGGAGCAAGTGTTCATCAAGGATCTCTCTGTACTTTGCTCCGTTCATCTTCCCCTCGATCCTGACTAGTCTCCCAGTCCCTGCCGCTGAAAAACATCCACACAGCATGATGCTGCCACATCCTTGCTTCATCGTAGGGATGGTGCCAGGTTTCCCCCAGATATGATGCTTGACATTCAGGCCAAAGAGTTCAATCTTGGTTTCATCAGACCAGAGAATCTTGTTTCTCATAGTTTGAGAGTCCTTTAGGTGACTTTTAGCTAACTTCAAGCGGGCTGTCATGTGCCTTTTACTGAGGAGTGGCTTCCGTCTGTCCTCTCTACCATAAAGGACTGATTGGTGGAGTGCTGCAGAGATAGTTGTCCTTTTCCACAGAGGAACTCTGTAGCTCTGTCAGAGTGACCATCGGATTCTTGGTCACCTCCCTGACCAAGGCCCTTCTCCCCCGATTTCTCAGTTTGGCCGGGTGGCCAGCTCTAGGAAGAGTCTTGGTGGTTCCAAACTTCTTCCATTTAAGAATGATGGAGGCCACTGTGTTCCTGGGGACCTTGAATGCTGCAGAAATGTTTTTGTACTTTTCCCCAGATCTGTGCCTCA